CAACCTTATTAGATAAGCAAAACTTGATGAAGATTTTACATATAAACAACTACTCTATTGACCTACCTAAGATACAATCTTGATAGATAACTGAATACATATATTAATACTTGTTCAGGTGAATGCTCTGTTATCTTATTTAGAGATCGATAATCATGAGGGGTTGGTTAGGGAGCACATGCCTGGTAGATACGTAGAGCTGGAACAGTATTGGGGGGAGTCGCAAGTCATGGGGCATGGGCCCCGTGCAGATGGTTGGGCTGATGAATTTTCCCAAGAACACGGTGGGGACCCGAATGCTTGGGCTTTATCCTTTGAGCAACAACATGGTACTGGGCATTGGGCTTTTAAATTCTAGCATGTGAGTGAGCTCTTTCACATCAATAATTAAAATAATAGTTAAATGTTGACTTACTATTAATTCTTATGTTATTGATTTCAGGAGCAAACGCAGATGATGTCTGTGGTCCGAATGGCAGGTGCAAACACGTTCATTATTATTTCTCTCTCTCTCTCTCTCTCTCTGTATATATATATATATATATATATATATATATATATATATTTCATATGTCCTTGTCACAGGAAGTAGATCCATTTGAGAGATTAACTGATCAAGACATCCGCACTACAATCCACCATGCAACTAGTCCTAGATCCGCTTTATTCGTGCAAGAGGTTTAAATTTTTATTTATTTATTTATTTATATTAATAGTTTAACCCTTTAATACAATTATATAGGTTCCACTTCAAGTTTTGGTTCGAAGACAAATAGCTCGGTTGTGGGATCATTGTCTTCAATGTGCTAGACTTGTATACAATGAATTAGTAAAGGTATTATCTTTTTTTCTTTTTTTTTATTTTTTTATAATTCAGAATAAATAAATATTTGGGAAATATTTCAGATCACCCATAGTTGTCTAGTGCATGAACTACAATAGTTTCCTGTTCTTAAGATGCACATTAATGACATTGCTGGGAGTTTTTTGTTTGAAGGTCTTCAACCTTCACAAACAATGATTGGACACTTACTAGAAATGGAGGTATTAGACCAAACTACTTTGATTGCGATTTTTATACATACATGTTCCTGTTTATTAAACCAAAGTATTTATGGTGTCAGGTTAATTCAGTAAAAACTTGTAGTTGGTATTCACCATTGACTATTGATTGACTTACTTTTTTCTGTTTGATGCAGAGTCAACTGGTAGGGAAATTGTTAATTTTTCAAAGTAAAACAAAGGGTTGATTGAACGAGAGAAAAGAAAACACCAACACTCAACGGATAATAAGAATAAAAAAGATAAAGATATGAGGAAAAAAAGGTAAAACAAACTCGTATGTATGAATATGATTTGTATGATAATTAAATTTATAGTGTACGTATGTTTTGGTTTGCATGCAGTCTTTGTTTGGCAGCTTGGAAAAACTTTGTAGCACCTGATCGTCCATGCCACTCTTGGTAAAACAAATTTATAGTGTACTTCTTCCATTCATGTTAGTAGTTTCTCATTATGATGTGTTGTTTCTTGTGCATTTTTATTTTTAGGAGGTATTTTACTTTCTTTAATATTTAAAGTTACAGGACATGAGTATCGGCACATCATGGAACATTTAGGGTAGTTGTTGCTTTTCCTCTTGGTGATCCATCAATGAAGTGGCCAACATCATGTAATAACATTTTAGGGGAAGATGTAGGTATATGTTTTTTTAATGAATAATGTAATCATATGTATGAATATGAAATACAGTTTGTTATTTGTATGATAATAAATTTTATGCAATGGATTTTATTTTTTGTATATGGTATTTTATTTTCTATTATGAGACATTAAATGCAAATTTAATTTAAAAATTAATAAATGAATAAATATATTTTTTTAGAACATTTAAAATTATGATACGCAAAAATGTGTGTCATCTTCATTTATGACATGACCTTTCTTGACAGGGGCTTCCTTGATACGCATTGCGTGTCATAAACACGCGCGCCGTAAGGTTATGACACACAAACGCGTGTCGTCTTCATTTATGACAGGGCCTTCCTTGATACGCATTGCGTGTCATAACCGCGCGTCGTAAATGCGCGTCATAAATGCGCGTCGTAAATGCGCGTCGTCTATAGATGACGCGCAAAAGCGCGCCGTCTCTCTTTATGACAGGGCCTTCCTTGACGCGCATTTGCGCGTCGTCTGAGCGTTTTACGATGCGCAATGAGCGTCTTAAAAGGCCTTTTTTCTAGTAGTGTTTATCAATATTCTGTCATAATATTCTATGTATTATGTTCTCATAATTCGAAATATGAAGAGGGATTCCATAATCAAAATCGAAATTTTGAGAACGCACTATGTATTGTTGTCTAAATCTATTAACATTCCACAACCTAAGCCTTTAGATTTGAAATGAAGCATAATATTCTCTCCCTTAATTATAGAAAAACAACTTTACAACCCTCACGACTTTGCAAGGGTCTGATACCACTGATGGGTTTTAGTCATAAGAACATACTATGTGCTCATACAAACCCTAATGCTCGGATCTAGGTTTCTCTATTGTACATGCAATTTATCCAAGACTATAAACCCTAGATCTAGCATATGATAATCAATATAACATAATAATGGGTTTAAGATATTACCTTGATTGTTATGTAGCAATAACAATCACAAATCCTCTTTGTAATGACTTTAGAAAGCTTAGAGTCACAAATGTCACTCATATAATGGTTCACAAACACCAAGAGCAAGAGGATGAAGAAGAGAAGAGAAAGAGGCTGCCCAAAACCGTCAAAAAACCCTAGAGAACAAGTTCACCACGTTTTTGGGGCTTAAGGGTTCTATATATAGTGAGGCTATTAGGGTTATCTAACAAGGAAACCCTAATTTGGATGCTTAAGCCCTAAGCAACCCATGGAGTCTTTTAATTAAAGCCCTTGGATGATTTCTTATGGGTTTCCCAATAGAATTCGTCCAACCTTATATAATAAGGTAATCCATAGCCCAATTTCAATTATCTTATAATTACAATTCCAGTCCCTTAAGTTTAATTAATCTCTTTTAGTCACAAACTTAATTCTTATTAATTCTTAACTAATATTAATTAAACAATATGATTTCTCCTTTAATATATTATTCCCATAATATATTAATAAATTATACTTAATCCTTTCTCTCCATAATTCATCCTATCAAGTTGCTTTGGTGAAGGCAACCCAAAAGGACCGTGCACCATCGGGTCAAGTACATACCACAATAGTTATGGAGTTAGACACTAATCCAACATATAGATCTATACAGGGCTGACTACCCTGCACCTGGCTGCTAGCTACAGCCGAACCGAAAGGTTCAAGGGTGATGAAAGTCATAAATTGATTTGGACTACTTATTGCCATATCTAGTCTATTGTATGGTTATGGAACTCGCAATTTGGATAACAAGGATTTACTTGTTAGTAATAATGAATATAGTAAATTAATAACCTTTGAAATTAGTTTACTATGTTGATAGTTTTATATACGTGTTAAAACTAACATACACTTCACAAGGATACTCAGGTTTTCAGTATACATCTTTTACATTACATTTCGGATAGATAACCAACTTTTAGGAAAATATAGGATTTTCCTGGGGTAATAATTATTCATAACCAAAATTGTGTAACATAACAGAAAACTAAACATTACTTTTAAGAAAATATGGGATTTTCTTGAATAACCACTTTTTCAGAAAACAAAAGGAATCTTGTTCATTTTCATAAAACAAACCGCTTATGAACTCACCAACTTTATGCTGATTTTTAAACTGCTTGTATTCTCAGGTTCTCCTTAGACAGGTATTACCGCGTTCTTTTGCAGAAGACGGAGCGTATGGAGTCACGTCTTTCTTTTGTTTAAACTTATGTATCTATGAAACTTGTATCACTTTACTTTTAAACAAATGTAATCAAAATTATGTAATGTAATGTTTTGTGTTTACTTCGCTTACTATGTACATTGGTTATGATATTCAACATGAAGTCACCTCCGCCCCAGAACGTTTCCGCCCTGGGTTTCAGGGTGTCACAGATTGGTATCAGAGCCCTTGTTTATAGTGAACTAAGTATACCAAACCTTACATGGTATAAGACTATAAACATTAAAGGGTCCTAAGTGCTCTGAACTAAAAGTATACTTCATAATATAAGTATTTATAAAAACATAGAAGTATACCTAACCGCCGAGATCCGTAACTACAAGTAGAACAAAACATAAGTAAATGGGTGTTGTACGCTGTGGTTAAACCTGGGCAGTTATGTAGTCGTGTCTAGGGTCAATATAGCCTGATTAACTATATTCATTCGAGACACGGCCAACATGTGCCTGGGAGTGACTGTGGTGATCAGCATGCCTAAGACTTACCCAAATACCCCAAACAACGAGCCATCGTCACAGCGAATCATGAAATACTATGGGAGTATTTCTAGATCCAACTTTGTTGTAGAAAATTCTCATTCAAGTGTTTCCCCTTGATCAGTCCTTTAGCGATAGTTTATCTACCTTGATAATTCTTTCCTGCTTTATCGCTTAATAGAATTATATGTCTGTCATAAAGAGATATCCCTTGTTTCATATCTCTTGATTTAATGCAGAGGACTTACCATCCTCTTTTTCCTAATCATTTTAGATCGAAATGTCTTCAAAGAAAGGACCCAGTTCAAGAAACAACAATCCTCCGTCACCACTTCCTTCTCAATTTGATCCTGTGATGTTTCTGATAGTTGTCACTGCCGCAGTGACGGCTACAATGATGTTATTGTACCCTAGCAGGTTCGGTGGACCAGGAAGTAGCACCTACCCCCAAAACCATGAAAATGTTCGGGAGCATCAGAAAGAGCGTAATTAGATTAATAAGGTTATCTGGAAAAAGCGAAAGGGTCAGAGTTCACAAGGACCCTCCAAAAGGCATGAATCTATGGCAGTTCAAGCTTGCACTACTCTTGTTGCCGTGTCTACAACTCAAGCGCCTACCACTAGGTATGCGGGTAACCTCCCTTAGTGCAACAAGTGCAAATATCACCATTATACCCCTGGCCCGTGCCTCGAGATGATCTGCAAAAGATGTGGAGAAATCGGACATTTCAAGCGAAACTGCCCAAAAGCAGCAACCACCAACAACGTCAACAACACCAAGATGGTTTTAGCTATGAAGCAAGAGGAGGCAACCGCTGATACCACCATCGTCGCAGGTGCGTTTCTTCAAGAAAATTCTTATACTCGCATCCTTTTCGAATCTAGTGCTAAAGAAATTTTATTAATCAATCATCTAAGTGTCTTCTTAAACATAGCCCTCGTCTAATAACTAAAACATTTACCGCCAAGATGGTTACCTGTGAGAATGAGTGCACTAACGACTTATCCCCAAGTTGTATCCTTACCTTGAGTAATCATTCTTTCCTCATTGACCTGATGTTAGTTTCAATAAAGAGCTTTGATGTTATCTTTGGCATTTATCAATTGAGTCCTTCTCATACTGATACACTTTGTTATGAAAAAGCTATTCGTCTCAATCTCCCCTCTGACCGGACCCGCATGATATATGGTGTCAAGCTTAGCTCAAATCTTCGCATCATTCCCTGTATCAAAGCTCGAAAGCTTCTGCAAAAGGTGTGTCAGGTATTCCTAGTCCATGCAATCAGCGAGAAACAAGAATTTAAAGACCTCTAGAGCGTCCCCGAAAACTGTAATATTCCTGATATCTTCCCGAAGAGCTCCAGAGAATTCCTCCCGAACGTCAAGTCGAGTCTCGTATCAACTTAATCCCTAGAACTACCCCGTAGCCAAATCTCAATGCCATTTTGCTCCAGCAGAAATGCAGGAGTTATCCAGTCGGCTTAATGAGTTGACCGTCAAAACCGATATCCTCTTTCCTTAATTAGATTACTTCTTCGATAAGTTTCAGGGATCTAGCTACTCCTCGAAGATAGACCTTAGGTCAAGACACCATCAGCTACGAGTTCATGAGGATAATGTTTCCAAGACTGAATTTAGGACTTGATATGATCACTAAAAGTTCGTATTGATACCCTTCGGTCAAAACATTTTCCCTTGGTCATGTAGTGAGCGATGAAGACATACGCATGGATCCTCCTAAGGTCAAAGCAATAGAGAATTGGTCGGCACCGAAGACACCCATAGAAATCTGTCAATTCTTGGGTTTCGCCGGCTGTTATCGCAGACCCATTCAGAAATTTCTTCCAAAATCATCAAATCCTTAATCACTCCAACACAGAAAGGTGTACCCTTTTGTTTGAGTAAAAAGTGAGATACATCATTCCAAGCATTGAAGTAAGACTTATGCATCACACCTATCCTGTCCCTGCCAGAAGAAACAGAGGACTTCGTTGTCCTTTGCAGTACGTCCAATAAGAGTTTAGACTATGTGCTTAGGCAGGAAGGAAAAGTTATCATTCATGCTTTGAGACAAACAAAAGGCACACGAGGTTAACTACACAACTCACGACTTGGAAATTAGGAGCAACAGTTCCTGCACTGAAGAATGAGAGACATGATCTCAATGGAATCGAGTACACAAATTTCATTGACCTTAAGAGACTACAGCATAGCTTCGATCAGAAAGACATGAAAATGAGGCGCCCTTAGCCGAAAGGAAAGCTTAGACAACAAGACTAAGACATTGACAATGACCACTTGTCCCCGTTTACTCAATCAGACCTGAGAAGCCTAGTTAGAAACCCTCCGGACTTTTCCAGCAGCCTAGATACCCGAATGGGAATGGTAAATAACCAACATGGATT